AGCCAAGCGGGAAAAGCTGAAGGGAAAAGTCAGGCAGAGGTGCTTTTTTGCTGGTCGCCCGGCCCTCCAGCTCGCTGTCCGTCCGTCTGTCCATCCTTCCTGCCAGCGGCATCCCACAGCCACCCCCTGCTCTGCCGATGGCTCGCCCACCCCAACAGCCGCCACGCCAAACTGCTCCCCTCATAACCGGAGCACCTCCAGCATCTCTGCCAAGGGAATTACAGTGGCAGTCACAGAATCACAGAATCACAGAATCTTCTAGGTTGGAAGGGACCTTAAAGATCATCTTGTCCAACCGTCAACCTAACTGACAAAAATAAATAGACACCCACACAACAAACAAGGAGCATCATCACTAAACCATACCTCCCAGCACTACATCAACCCGTCTTTTGAACACCTCCAGGGATGGTGCCTCAACCACCTCCCTGGGCAGCCCATTCCAATGGCTGATGACCCTTTCAGTGAGAAAATTTTTCCTAATATCCAGCCTGAACCTTCCCTGGCGCAACTTGAGGACATTTCCTCTCGTCCTGTCGCCTGTGACTTGAGAGAAGAGACCGACCCCCATCTCTCTACACCCTCCTTTCAGGGAGTTGTAGAGAGCAATAAGGTCTCCCCTCAGCATCCTCTTCTCCAGGCTGAATAACCCCAGTTCCCTCAGCCTCTCCTTGTAAGACTTATTCTCCAGACCCTTATTATAAAGAGAGAAAATAATTAAGAGATTTAACAGGATTTTAATAAAACAAATCAAAAACTTGTATAACAACACCCGTATTTTAATCCACATAACCTCTGTGCAAGCAAAGCCAGAAGCTGTGAATCTCTGCGGATTTTTTTTCTCCGTGGTGGCTTTTTTTTTTGGGGGGGGGGGGGGGAGGCTTCGGCACTTGCCCAGCTTTGAACGTGTGATTTCAATTAAGCACATAGTTACAGGGCGGCAGGATTGGGGCTGGCTGTTTGGATAAGGAGCAATAAAGCAGCAGCTGTATTTATTCACTTATTTTGAAGCCGCTGTGGAAGACAGGATGCTAAACGGGAGGAAAAAAAAAGAGTGTTTTAAAGGCAAACTTGAGGGACTCTTTTGTCTCCTGCAGGCATCCTCTTCCCCGAGGTTCCCCGAGCCATCACCAGGGTGCTTCCTCGCGAGAAGGATAATCCTGCCCATGCATTCCCATAATTTCCATTTGCTTTGAAATGCTCAGAAATATAGAGGTGCTCGTTTATAACGAGGTCTATTCCTACGGCTTGGGCAGTGAAAAGAAACTTTAAATGTCACGAATCCCTGATTTAAGGCAGGGTTTACTGGAGAGGGACAGCTAGGCTGCACACGCGGAGACGTTTAATGCCGGGTTAATAAGCTGTGGGGGATTTTTACTCCGTGTTTATTAACCTGGAGACTCCAGTCTGGGGATTTCTCCGAGTTTGCTTACATCGCAGTGAAATTTCAGTGCGAATTTGGTGCTTGTGGAGATTTGAGCCAGAATGTGTGTGTGTGTGCACAGGGCTCCGAATCCCCAGCAAACCATTTAACAAACAGTTAAATTTCCACAGCACAGCCGCCTTTTAGCCTGTGTGAGCTCCTGATGTATTTTTCCTGTACCCTGGATAGAGGTACACCCTCCCACACACCCGGGCAGGTACACACAGACACATCTTCCCCTTGGCATGGTGACAGGGTGGGCTCACACGGCCAGTTCTGGGGTACATCTGTGCCCGTGGGCAGTGGGTAGGGGTGGGCTGGCCTGAGGACTGTGGCCTGGGGGATGGTGCAAGTGTACCTGTGAGACCTGGGCAGGAGGTGTGGGTATCAGGGGAGGTTTGGGTGTCAGTGGGGGGTTTAGGTGTCAGTGGGGTCAGGGTGGGGAGCTGTAGGTATCCATGTGGATGCCTGTGGGGGTAGGTGTTGTTGGCCATGAGGAGGAGAGGAGGTGTCTGTGGCGTGTAGCAGCAAGTGTCCATGGTGTCTGTCTGGAGCGGGTGTTGGTGAGGGTGTCCATGGAGTAGGTGAAGGTGTCCGTGGGGAAGGAGCGGGTGTTGGCATGGGTGTCCGTGGAGAAGAAGGTGGGTACTGGTGGTGGGAAGATGCGGGTGTGCGGCTGGGTGTCAGTGGAGAAGCTGGTATGGAAGGACAGCTGTCCATAGGGGCGCCGGTGGGGAAGAAGGGGTGTCCGTGGGGGTGTCGCTGCCCACCAGCGGGGGTGGGGGCAGCCCCCCGCCGCCGCCCCCCCGCCCTCGCTTTGCATAGGAGCGCGGCTCATCCCAGCCCACCGCGCCCTCCATATAAGCGGCGGGGGCCGGGAGCCGCCACAC